CCATGTTTCGTCACCAGTTATAACCCTTTTGAGCAGATCAGGACCATCATTGACGTCGTTCAACATGTCTTGGCCGATGTTCATGCGACGCTGCTTCTGATCAAAATTAAGTAGTTTTGGAACGAATTTCGCTGACACACGTGTCATACCCAAAACATCCGTTAAAATTGATTGGCATGAGCCAAACGATATGTTAAGATCATCAGCTATTTCTCTAATCGTGATTCGACGATTTTTCAACACAATTTCTTTCACTTCCTGAACATTTTCGTCGGTTTTTGACGTGCTGGGGCGTCCAGAGCGAGGTTCATCGTTAACATTTTCTCGGCCCTCTTGGAATAACTTATACCATTTATAAACATTTTTTTTGCTCAAAGTTGACTCACCGTACGCCACTGTCAACATTTCAAGAGTTTTTGAACACTTAATACCATTTTTTACACAAAAATTAATACAAACTCTCTGCTCCATTATTTTCAACAGCAAAAAATCGCCGAGCACGCAAACACGAGTCTAACCTTTATGCCTCTCACATAAAAACAACACATGCTATATAGTCAAAACTGTGAACATATGATCGTGACGAGTGTACCAACACAACAAAAAAAAAATTTTGAAATTAGAGTGTACAGAGCGCGCGAAATTCAAAAAGTCACCTTACTTTTTGATCACACCTCGTATATCTCGATCTATGGGATAAAGCGATACATTTTTTTTTGCCAGATTCGTTCATTTCGTGCAAACACGTGTCGAGCAAGTCTAATTTGTGTATATAGAAGCAGAAAATCACTTACGTGTTCCTCTATGCCAACGATGTGACAGATTTTCTAACCTAATCATCAGCCACATGTGTGATGTGACCATGCACATTGACAGCGCCACATGGCGCCACATTTGCATCTTGCGCCAAAAATTCCAAAAGGACATTATCCCCACCACTTCGTAGCGGCAACGACGACGACGTCAATGATAATGACGTTTCTTAATATAAAAAGTTTCAGATTCGTATATTTTGCGTCGCAACGTCGCAATATCTCCACTCGCAGAGCACGTAGAGAAAAAAAAAATAAAAACACTTTCATTATATATCCCGAGCGATTGCAATCGATTAAGCATACTTAGAACTTGATCGATTCAGCCCTTATTGAGATCCGATAATCTCGATCTGCCGCAACTCGCCGGCTCGCGTAAAGGACGCTGCGCGTAGCTTAGTGCCGAGACATTACCAGTGTCTCCAAATAGATTTTCTTTATTGGTGAATTAGATCACTCGCACTACACTGGATCAGTGCATATTAAAAGCTGCTTTACATAAAATATCTTATTGCAGTGATACAATATAATCAACTTTGACAATGAAATTATACATGTGGCGGTCTATTTGACACCACATACATATTTCAAATAACTCGAACGAAGCAAACTTCATGCGGATGCATTTGTTTCCAAGATCTACTTGAAGTGATTCGGAAAAAATTAATTTCTCAAGAAATTAATAGAAGGCGCATTTCGGTAGATCTTCTCGTATTCTGTAAAACTCTGAACGGCTATATAAAGGCAAGGCCAACGGCTTGATTTCGTCTCTTGCGGCATACTGCAAGAGCATCTATCCTTTTTGTGGTGTAATCGTGGAGCCTGTCTCTCGTCGTTCACGGATCATTCCCTGGTGGAAGAAATCTTCCTCAGCGAGATCCAGCGAGCCGCTACAATTTCAAGAGGTTACACCGAGTAATCCAACGGCAACTAAGCAACAAGGAAAATCAACATCCCCTCCAGTGATCTGGCGACTATTTAAGGTGGACAATTCTTCGCCGGTCCTCACAAGACCTCCGAGCTTCCTCCTGGCCGGTAACGACCCGAGGGTTAGGAGACCGCTGTCTCCCAGTTATCCGATACCGCCGCCGCTCCTGTCTCCGCTACCGAAATCTCCGAGTGACTTCTCTACGAAGGCAACGCAGACCCTGCCTGTTCCTAGAGTGCACCGGGGAACGCTGAGCCGACCTACGGTAGTTACCCAAGAAACACAGAGCGACTCCATAATACAGCAACGAACATCTACACCACCAGGATCACCAGCCAGCTACACACCACCAGGATCACCAACAAGCTACACACCACCAGACTCGCCTCCTGGATCCTACTCACTTGATCTTTCACGCAGAAGACTCTGGGGACCTAAGAAATATACTCAGACAAGACCGACAATCTCTTATAGAGAACGAATTATATAGTTTTTTGACATAAACGGCCCTTTTCAGGGCCACATAAATTGTAAACATAAAAACGGTCCTTTTCAGGACCAACGAATTTATAGAAAGTTAAATAAATTATAAAAAACGAACACGCTACCATAAACCCTTCATACATATATATTTTGTTAATAACGTGACTATATCATCAGTAGATAGTTAATCGTTAAAAATATTTATATACTTTTACATTTAACTTTGTTAATTTCATGTAAAGCAGCTTTTAGTATGCACTAATCTAATATAGTGCAAGCGACCGAATTCGCTATATGTCTCATATGGAAAAATAAAGAAGAGATTCTCCTGTCTATTTAATCATCAACCAGAAATTGTATATAACTTTATCGTCATAGAAGAAAAATATATTATCGTGAATGAATAATCCTGTATCTAAATTCTTCGTAACATGGCTAAAAAATGAGATAGTGAAATAAAAAGAATACATTAGGAGATGAATATATCCATGACTTCTCTAATCAGAAAGATAACATTGTAAGATAACATTAAATTGAAAAAAAGATTAAATGTTGTTAAAAAGCCATTTTTTTTTATATTAAGCCTTAATTATCTTAGAAAACTAACGTGCTAAAATTTTTTTACTTACGCCATTGGACGTGTGGTTACTAGAATGTTACTAGAGTGGTTACTAGAATGTACTCTTAACCAGAGTACAAGGTAAAAATAATTAAATTTTATTGGATGAATTTTAATAAATTTTATAATCAAAAGTTAACAATTAAAAGTAAATAAGATTTATTATCGTTAATATTTTACATTCCGTTTATTAATATTAAAGTAACCATTGGTTCAATCAAATTTGTGTTATCATACGTATATTTTCAACGCTATCGTATACTTAATCGCGCATTATTAATTTTTTAATTATGCTACTATGTAATAATATTTTTTTTATTGTATTTTGAACTGCATTG